CTCAGGTTCCCCTGACACCAAGGCCAGTGCTGTTATCTACTGCATCACCTAGCTGTCCCAGTTAAGAGAGAGTTTGGAATATTTTTCATGTGACTTACATTCTAGACTTTTGACCATCTTTGTTTACCCTTATGAATATGCAGTTTGTCAATAATCCCCTTGGAATGTACTATCCAGAATTCAAAATAATACTCCACGTACTTTGACCAGCACAAAGTAGAATGTGACTTTCGTAATCATGTAAGTCTCGATGTGTTATTTAAGATGTATTTTATATTTGCATATTCAAATCCTTTGCCATCATCCCCACTTACGCAGACTATTATGTTTACAAATAGAAGAGAGAATATGGGACCATGAAAGGGTCAGGAGACTTGGGCTTTAGTCTGATTGCTTCAGCAGGTTGTTCCCCTTCTTTAGGCCTCAGTTTTCTCATCCATAAAATGAGAAAGTTGAAATAGAAAGTCTTCATAGTCTTTCTGGTTCTTTCATGATTTTATTATGTATGTAGAAAAAATGTCAGTCTAAATGTGTCTCTTTCATCAAACATCCCAGAAAAAGCAGAATTTCTGAAACGTTATTTGTTTTTTGGTTGGGCAAATTTGGTTGGGTTAACTCCTAAAGAGCTAGAAGGCCACATGAGCATTCAGTAGTTTCTAATATATTCACATTTTGTTCCATCTTGTCCCAGATGGAAAGATGCCATTCTGACAACCATGGTAGTTTGTCTCCTGTCTGCCAGTGTCAAAGCCTGTCAACTGTAATAATAGGAAGAAAAAAGAAAAAAAAGATTTACTTGGAAAATACATGTTTAAGGAAGACAAAATTTGGCAGTTTTTTAAGGCACTAGAAAAAACATAGTGCTTATAAGTTGGCTGTGGCACATTGTCAATAATGACTTGCACCTGAGAAAAAAGACCTCATTTAAAGACAGTATAACCTATGCGATAAAAGACTGTGAGCTCAGAAGGAGATGCGTGAGGGAGAGAAAACTTGATAGACAGTCCAGGCGTTTCACTGGTGTTCTGGAAATATGAAAAAGAACTTTAAAAAGGCCTCTAAGTACTTGAATATCTTCTCTGGAGGCTCGATAGAAAGACGTGAGCAGGGATTATACAGGATGAGAAAGCATGGCGGAATTTGTCTAAACAGAGATCAGATTGGTTACAATGTCAGTGTGAATATTTAAGGCCTGTTTTGTCATCTGAAACCTTTTTTATAAACCACTCTGCCTTCGTCATGGAGGCAGTGGGAGGTGTGTGTGTATGGGTGTATGTTGGGGGGGGTAGGAGGGAGGTAGAATGCTAGGCTTGGTCTAGATCCTACTGCAGGTCCTTCCTGTGTGACCCGAGGACCTTGATTCTTCATCTGAAAAAACGGAAATAATAAAATGGGGTTGGCACCAAGGGGACCTCAGATGAGATAACATGTACAGAATACTTTGTCAGCTTTGAAGCACTGTATCAAAGGAAGTAGTTATCATTTCTTTAATGATTGCTGATTTGTAGATATAAAAAGGTAAAGTGATCTAGATAATTACTCCAGAATCCTAGGCTCATTGATCTAGAGCTGACCGTGGCCTCGGGGCCAGCTACTCTGACCTCCTTGATTTAAGGATGGGGAAACTGAGGACTAGGGAAGTCGAGTGATTTGTGCCAGGTCACAGAGGTAATAAGCATCAGAGGCAGGATTTGAACCCAGTGTTCTTTCCGCCATACAACACTGCGTCTCTGGAGTTTTTGGAGCAAGTGGAATTAAGATGATTTCTAAAATGTTCATAGATTCTCTGATCTAGCTGTGCTACTCACATTCCTTCCAGACCCACTCTCCTTATCTCTCCCTCACCCTCCTGCACATACCCGCTCACTCAGCTGACTCTTTAATTCAGTCTAGTGTGGCAAATAGCCCTACTTCTTATCCTATGTGATGGTAACTAAGTCTTTCTGTGTTGACAGGATAATGTTAACAAGAGTAGTAATAACTGTGAAGGGCTTAAAAGGTTAAGTGGCTTCTCTGGGCTCACACAGTAAGGACCTGAGGCAATATTTCATCCATTAGTGGAATACCCCAGTAGAGCCGATATACAAGGATGTGGTACTTTATGCAACAAATTCAACTCAGCTACATTTGGTAAGTGCCAGACACTCTCAAAGTAGTGGAGGAATCCAGTGAAAAATGTGAAACAGCCCCTGCCCACGAGGAGCTTACATTCTACTAGGAGGAAGCAACATGGACACATGGATCTACACAATGTAGATGAAGCAAGCACGAAGTAATTTGGAGGGAGGGGAAGAATGCTAGCATTTTGGAAGGACAAAACATGAACAAAGATAAGTAAATGAAAGGTAATTTTTATGGAGAGGAGGGGTTATCAACTATTGAAGGGTTCAGAGAGGCCTTCTGGAGGTGCCTGAACTGAGCCATAAAGGAAGATTGGGATTATGAAAGGCAGAGATGAGGAGGCAATACTATCTATATATGGACAATAGCTTGTACCATCGACAATCTGCCTTCAGAGGCAGATGTGAAAATACTGAGTTCAAAGAACTTATAATACTCCAGTTTAACTGGAATATAGAGTGCATAAAGTAAAATAAGACTAGAAAGGCAAGTTGGAGCAAGATTGTGGAGGGTCTTGGAGTATGTATTTTATCCTAGAGATAATAGGGAGCCATTGATGGTTTTTGAGCAGAGAATGGTCAGGCCTGATCATTAGAAACATTTTGGCATTTGTATGAAGAACGAATAGAAGGGAGAGAGACCACAAAGAGAAGAGACTATAAAGAATATTATGAGAGTCTGTTGAGACAAATTTAGGCTTGTCAGCCCATAGGATCATGGAATTTCAGAGTTGGAAAGGGCCTCAGGAACCATGTTATCTAACCCCAACCTAAAAGCAATTAGTCAAGACCTTTTTGGATCTCACTGGGTCATACATACACAGATCCCAGAAACACTCCGCAGGAGGCCTTCTGTCAAATTGTCTTTGAATCATTAACAATCACTTTTCAGGGCCGGCCATTCAGCCATATTTAATTGTATATAGTCTAGTCCACATCTCTCCATCTGTCCAGTGAGAAGGATAAGTTCCTTCTTTAACTTGTAGTGGGAAAGAGCATTCACTGTATCTGGAGTCATGTGGTCTGGGTTCTAGCAGGGCCTTTAGCTCAGCCTTCTTGGGCAAATCCCAATCTTCCAGAGCTTCAGGTTCCTCATTTGTAAAATGAAGTCATTGGACTGGGTGATTTCTAAGGTCCCTTCTAACTTCGGGATTGCTTGGTCTCTGATGGCTCTCCTAACTCTCTGATCCTATGAGCTCCAAGGTCTCTTCTGCTCAGAAATTACAGGAATTAGAATACAGGAACAAGAAGCCCCACGGTACTCTGCCTTGTTCAGTATTGAACATCTAGAATATTGTGTTCTGTTTTGGATGATACATTTTAGGAAGGATGTTGATAGTGGATAGAAGGATTGTTGATAGAGTGTCCAGAGAAAAGCAATCAAGGTAGTAAAAGGCCTAAAGCTGATGCCTAGTGAAGATTGGTTAAAGGAATTGGTAATGTTTAGTATGAAATAGAGAAGTCCTGGGAGATTGGGGGAAGGATGGGGCAGAATAGCTGTCTCTAGATATTTTAAGGGCTTTCGTGTGCAAGAGAGGCCAGTCTTAGGTGGGCCCCAGAAGGCATTACTTGGAGCAATCGGTTGAAGTTTCAAAGAAGCATGTTTAGGCATGATAATAGGAAAACTTTCTAACAATTAAAGCTATCCAGAAGTTCATTGGACTGCCTTGGAAGGTAGTGGCTTTCCCCCAGTCTGAGGTCTTTAAGAAAAGGTTAGACGGTCACTTGTCAAGCATATTGTAGATGGAATCCTTTTTCAGGTGCAGGTTAGACTACCTGATTTATAGAGGCCCTTCAGTTCTGAAATTCTTTGACTCTATGGTTTTATATGCTAGATTACAAGGTCTTTGAGGGCATGGATTTACTATGGCCTGATCTGCTAAAATCTAAAAAATAAAGTAGTCATTGGAGTAGATAATTAAAATTAAGCACATTAAATGTATGTGTAAGAGACTATACTATTGGCTTAATTAATTTTTATATAAAAATAAGATCTTAGAAGGGTTATATTTAATTTACTATCTTGGTGGGAAACAATAACGGTTTAGTGGAAAGAGCTGTTTAGTGTCAGAAAACATGGTTTCCAAGTTTGACTTTGGTTAAGTCTCTTTTTGTGTGTATTATCAGTAATTGATTAGGATTGCTTAAAATGTTATTTTGACTTAAATAAGTTATGAATAGCAGACAGTGTGAGCACTGGATATGAGGATGTTGCATAAATTATGGGTTAGGAAACAGCATAGCAGAGTGGGAAGAGAGCAGTGGCCGGGGAGCCCCAGGGACCTGGGTTCTGGTCCTCTATCCTTAAGGATCACAGCCTCTCCACATCCTGATCTATTGAATGGGGATAATAACCACTGCCCTGTCTGTCTTATGGGCTATTGGAAAGATTAAATGAAACAATGGAAATGAAAATACTTTTAAAAGTGTACAGGCAAGCAGGGCAAGTTAACTGTTTTCTCTCAGTGGAATATAGGCTCCTGGCGCCTTTTTTTTTTCCTTTTGTTTCTCTTGCATCTGCCTGGCACATACTAGTGCTTGTTGACTTGATTTAAATAGAATTCATTTGATAGAAACAATGTTACAAATGAACAGTTGGTTGAATGATATTACAGCACAGTTTCCTGATGGTACAGTGAGATTTGATCATAATTTATTAGTAACTATTGCAAAATCATATTGGTAGGGAGATTGTTCTGCGAGATGTGCCTTTGAGATGCTGTATAACTTAAGATAATAGTAGTAAATATGTTGTTTATTATTGAGGTTTGATTTAAGGCATCAAGGTGATTTATGATAATTTTGAATATGCAGTATAAACTTAACCAGAACCTTTAAATAACTGTAATTTTTTTTTTCTCTGAACTCCACTTTTACGAGAAAGAGGCACATGACAAGCAGACAAGCTGATAACAGGGATTTAGCCACACAAAGCAACTTCCAGCATATATACTTGGGTCAGTACAGACTTAGCCCAACTCCTGTACCTTCTGCCTCTCTATCGGTATGGTCCTGGGCAATGAGAATTAATGTTCTGAGTGATGATCATAGCAATACCTTACTTTTTCTACAGTTTGTTGTCCTTTCCAGAATGCGTTTCCATTTATCATCTCCTCCAAATGTACAACACTCTCTGCAAGTTAAAGAAGGAATTTATTATCCTTCTCACTGGACTTATAAGGAAATGAAGGTGTGGAGGGAGGGGTAAATCATACATGACCTCACTGGTGGAGCTGGGCCTAGATGTCCATCTCCTGGCTCTCCTTATCATAGCTCTTCTTGCTCTACCTTCTTGTCATCCAAGGCTGCAGCCCTGGGGGAATCTCATTCAGTACTTGGGAAGAGAGTAAATGGAACTGATGGCTTTTTTCTTTTTCCCTTCCCTTTTCCCTTTCTTTCCTTCCCGCCTCCCATCTTCTCCTTCCTTACTTGCTTTGCCCTGATAGTCATTGTTATACCACAGACGCTTTCCTTTAAACCATGCTGCCACTGGACCCTTCTGTAACAGAGAAAAAATATTGAAGTGAAACCATCAGACACAGTCACTATATCTGATGGTTTGTATCCCCCATCACATTCACCACCTCTCTATTGAGAGGAGGCAGTGGGTGTTTTATTATCAGTTCTTGAGAACCTAGACTGGTCTTTACAATTAATTGAACTAATGATTGCTGCAAGATTTTCAAAAGTAGGGATTCAGAGAAAGATTTTTTCCTTAATCCTAATTTAACTATAACAGCATTGTTTTGGTTAACTTACTTTTCAAAAAAAGAGGGAAGGGGATGTATTCCATATTATAGGATCATGAGTTTGACTTTGATTACTATCAAAATTCTAGAACATATTGTAGACACAGCCAATCCTATTTCTTTCTCACCTCTCTCTTTTAGAAATAAATATTAAGAAAGCAGTTTTAAATTATCCTAGTCCAAAGCTTTTGGATTAATGTGAAAGAATGTTTATTAGTCTTTTTATAACTCTCAATTCAGAAAGTGTCCAGCTCTTCTCTTCTTGATTAGTCTAGAAAGGACTCACCTGGAAGTAATTAGGCTGGTGGCAGGACAAGGGAAAGGTCCCCTGATTGATCCAGTTAAGGGTAACAGTAGTCTCTTTCTCCATGCTCTGAAGGGAATTAGAGTGATGGTCAGAGCTGGACATTTCTTGAGTTTACCTTTGATCAGCTAGAAAGGAGCACTCTTGAAGGGACTGATCGAAGAAGGATTGAATGATTTTAGAAACATAGTTCTTCAAGGGTGTTCTGTTTGATGAAGCAAACTCTTGCCTACAACACAGAATATAATACAAAATTTTCTTCTAATTATAAAGGGGTGGGTTATGAGGATTTAGAAAGGAAAGCAGTGATTACTAAGAGCCAATATGAGAACAACTCATGACAGACTAACCGCATTTCCTTTTTTTGACAGGGTTACTAGATCAGGGAATGCCATTAACATAAACTTTGATTTTAACAAGGCATTTGAGGAAGCCTGTGATGACATGCTTGTGGACAATATTGGGGAATATGGGTTAAATGATAGTATATTTAAGTGGAGAGAGGACCTAGTTGAATGATCAGACCAGAAGAGTATTCCTTAATAGGTTGTTGTCAAAGTGAGGGGAATCTTTAGCTGACTGATTCACAGGGATCTGCCTTTGGTTCTGTGGTGGTCAGTATTTCTATCAGTGACTTCAATCAATCAATAAGTATTTATTAAGCCCTTACTATATGTCAAGCACTGTGCTAGGCAGTGAGGACACAAATACAAAGAGTGGAATAATTTGCTGTGAAAGCGCAATCACATTTACTGATGATGCAGAGTTGGGGGATTTAATATGTTGAATAGCAGATCCAAGACCCAAAAAAGATTTCAGCAGTCTAAACTGGTGGGTTGAGTTGAGTAAAATGAGTAAGATGAAATTTAATAGGGATACATATAGAGCCCTACAGTTAGCTTCAAAAAGATCAACTCTACAGGTATGCACTAGGGAAAAGCCTGACTGATATAACATAACAGTAAAATGATCTAGAAGTTTTATCTGAATATGAGTCAGTTGCATGGTAAGCCTAGCAGGTTCAGACCTGTGATTCTGTTGGTGTGGGGAAGTCATAGTGGGAAAATTTTCTGCGCCAGCTCAGCTCCTTTCCAACTGAGCTTTACAGAGTTGTTGAGGGTATTCTCTAGATTAAATGAGGTGTTGAATGACTTGCTTACGGTCACACAGCTGTGGCTGAGATAGGATTAGAACCTAGGTCTTCCTGACTCCAAGACTCCTTCTTAACATGATTTTAGACTGTATTTATAGAGATCACTATCCAGAGCTGAGAGATTATGGTCTTACTGTACTATGTCCTAGTAATACGATCATTAGTACTAGTCAGCATAGTGGAGAAAGGATAGAGCACTTCCAGGTGAGGATGGCCAGATGGTGAGAGAAGTAGAGACCATCTGAGGATCGGTTGGATTGTCTAGTTTAGAGAAGAGAAAGCCTAGGGGGCCTACCTATGTAGGAAAAAAACAAAAACCTACTTTTTTTTTTTAGGATCTTACAGATAGTTAATTTTCATAATACCCATTATGGACCCCATTTGTAGGAGTACTTGCAGTAAAATGACATGGTTATGGTCTGAAACAATAGGTTGTCTTTAAGTCTATTTGAAGGACTTTCATGGGAAAAAAGGGTTAGACTTATTCTGCTTGGCCCTAGGGAGCACAGGGAACAATGGGTAAAAGTTGCGAAGAAGCAAATTCTATCTTAATATAAGGAGCGATTTGCTAAGAATTGGAGCTATCTCAAAGAGGAATGTGCTGTTTTAGGAAGTAGTGGGCTCTCTGTCACTGGATGTCTTAAAGGAGAGGCTGGACCACTCCTTGTAGAGGGTATGTATGGTCTGGTGTTGGACTCGATGTACCCTGGGAGGTTCGTTTCTTCAAACTTGTAAAGTTTGTGATCTATTCCTGAAGCATCTGGTGAATCAAGGTTATACTCCAGTACTCTGAAGATGAGGTAGCCCAGAAAAAATTCTGTTGTGGATTGTCCTCTCAGTCTATTACATTTATAATACAAGTAAAATTTGCTTAAAATTATTGCAAAGGATAGCCTTTCTTGAGGGCTGTGTTTGGGGGGGAGGAATGGGCTGTCACTGTTAGTAACCAGCTTCTGTTTTCTTTGGTTTTTTTTTTGTTTTTTTGCTAGGCAGTGGGGTTAAGTGACTTTCCCAGGGTCACACAGCTAGTGAGTGTTATGTGTCTGAGGCTGAATTTGAACTCAGGTCCTTCTGAATCCAGGGCTGGTGCTCTATCCACTGCACCACCTAGCTGCCCCATCTGTTTTCTTTTGATTTATCTTGGTAGCAGTGAAAGCAGTGAATTTGGTGAGCAGTTGCTCATTGTACATAAGAGTCTGAGCCTTTTTTTTCCCTTGCACCAGAGTGTGTTTACTATCTCCTCTTCCTAGTGCTGCTTGGACCCCAAAGTATCATGCTGCCCAATAGTGTAAGCAATGGGGTGATTGTTTTGTTTGCTCTACCCTAATGATGACTCTGCTCACAATCATGGTATAATGGGAAGAACACTGGATTTGGAATTAGAAGTTGTTATGGTTCAGTTGTGTCTGATACTTCATGACCCCATGGACCATAGCACTCCAGGTCCTTCTGTCTTTCACTGTTTCCCAAAGTCTGTCGGAACTCACGTTCATTGTTTACATGACACTATCTATCCATCTCACTGTCTGCCATCCCATTCTCCTTTTGCCTTCAATCTTTCCCAGAACCAGGGTATTTTCCATCCCATCTTCTCATTATGTGGCCAGAGTATTTAAGCTTCATCTTTAGTATTTTGACCTTCCAGTGAATAATCTGAGTTAATTTCTTCATGTGTTGACTGATTTGATCTCCTTGTGGTCCCAGGGACTCTCAGAAGTTGAAACTGTCGATTTTGTGACGCTATAGTCCAAAAACCATAGCTTTGACTATATGGACCTTTGTTGGCAAGGTAATGTCTCTGTTTTTCAATATACTGTGCAGATTTGCCATAGCTTTCCTTCCAAGGAGCAAATGTCTTTTAATTTCATGGCAGCAGTCACCATGTACCGTGATCTTTGAGCCCAAGAACATAAAATCTGACACTGCTTCCATTTCTTTACCTCTGTTTGCCAGGAAGTGATGGGACTAGTTGCTGAGATCTTAATTTTTTTTAATGTAACCTTCAAGCCAACTTTTACATTCTCCTCTACCACTCTCATCAAGAGGCTTCTTAATTCTTCACTTTCTGCCATCAGAATCATGTCATCTGCATATCTGAGATTGTTGTGAATAGGTTCCTGGCAACCTATTCTGGCTTTTGATTTGTCCAGCCTGGCATTTCTCATCATGTAACTCTGCATGTAAGTTAAATAGATGAGGTGATATACAGCCTTGTCGTATTCCTTTCTCAATCTTCAGCTAATCAGTCGTTCCATCTTTGGTTCTAATTGTTGCTTCCTGGCCAGCATGCAGCTTCCTCAGGAGACAGGTGAGATGACCTGGTGCTCCTTTCAACTGGAAGACTTGACACACTTTGTTGTGATCCACACAGAGGCTTCAGTGTAGTCAAAGCAGCAGAAGTAGATGTGTTTTTCTGGAACTCCCTTGCTTTCTTCATAATCCAGTGAATTTTGGCAATTTGGTCTCTAGTTCCTCTGACTCTTCAAAAACCAGCTGTTCTTAGGGTAATTCTCAGTTCACATATTTCTGAAGCCTAGATTAAAAAATCCTAAGCATAACCTTACTGGTATGTGAAATGAGCTTAATTGTTCAATAATTTGAATGTTCTTTGACATTACCCTTCTTTAGGATTGGAACATAAACTGATCTCTTCCAATCCACTGGCCGCTGTTGAGTTTTCCAAATTTGCTGGCATATTGAGGGTAGCACTTTCTTAATTAATTAATTAATTAATTGACTGATTGATTGATTGGCTAGGCAGTGGGGTTAAGTGACTTGCCTAGGGTCACACAGCTAGTAAGTATAAAGTACCTGAGGCTGGATTTGAACTCAGGTCCTCCTGACTCCAGTGCCAGTGCTGTATCCACTGCGCCACCTAGCTGCTCCCAAGGGTAGCACTTTAACAGCATCATCTTTTAGGACTTTAAGTAGCTCAGCTGGAATTCTGTTATCTCCACTAACTTTATTGTTAGCAATGCTCCCTAAGGCCCACTCGACTTCATTCTTCAGGATGTATGGCTCTAGATCGGTAACCACGCCATTGTGGTTATTGGTGATGTTAAGATCTTTCTTGTATATAGTTGTCTGTATTCTTGCCTCCTTTTAATCTCTTCTACTTCTGTTAAGTCCCTACCATTTTTATCTTTTATCCTGTCCATTTTCACATGAAACATTCCCTTGATATCTCTAATTTTCTCAGAGATTTCGTCATTCCCATTCAATTGTTTTCTTCTGTTTCTTTGCATTGCTCATTTAAGAAAATCTTATCTCTCCTTGCTGTTCTCTGGAATTCTGCGTTCAGTTGGGTATATTTTTCCCTTTTTCTTTCTTTCTTTCCTCAGATATTTGTAAAGCCTCATCAGACAGCCATTTTGCTTTCTTGTTCTTTTTCTCTAGAATGGTTTTTCTTGCTGCCTCCTTTACAGTGTTATGAACCTCTGTCCATAGTTCTTCGCCTACTCTTTCTACCTGATCTAATCCCTTAAATCTATTTGTCACTTCAACTTCATAAGGGATGTTATTTATGTCATAGCTATACTGTCTGAAGGTTTTCCCTACTTTCTTCAATTTAAGGCTTAATTTTGTAAGAAGAAGCTCATGATCTGAGCCACAGTCAGCTCCAAGTCTTGTTGGAACTGACTGTATTGAGCTTCTTCATCTTTGGGTATGAAGTATGTGATGAGTCTGATTTTGATGTTGACCTTCTAGTGATATCCATGCATAGACTCACCATTTGGGTTATAGAAAAAGAGCATTTGCTATGACAGACAGTTGATTATCTTGACAAAACTCCATTAATCTTTGCCCTGCTTCATTTTGTATTCCAAGGCCAAACTTGCATGTTATTCCAATAATTTTTTGGCTTCCTGTTTTAGCATTCCAATCCTGTATGATGAATGTGACATCTTTTTTGGTGTTGTTTCTAGAAGATGTTGTAGGGCTTCATAGAACTGGTCGACTTTGGCCTCTTAGGCATCAGACTTGTATTACTGTGATGTTGAACAATTTGCCTTGGATTGAAACAGATACTCTATCATTTTTGAGATTATACCCCAGAAGTGCTTTTTTCCCCCCCCACAATTTTATTGACCAATGAGAGCTGCTCCATTTCTTCTAAGGGATTCTTGCCTACAGTAGTATATGTAGTGATCACCTGAATTAAATTCCCACATTCCTGTCCATTTGAGTTCACTGACCAAGAGGTTGTTTAATCTTTCCATCATAGATCTTGTGTTCCAGGTTACTGTCCAATACTGATGTTTATAACATCAGACTTTCCTTTTGTCTCCGAGGGCATCCGCCGCTAAGCTTCCTTTTGGCCTTGGCCCAGCCACTTCATAAGGACTGGAGCTACTTGGCGTTGTCCTCTACTCTCCCTTAGTAGTGTGCTGGATGTTTTCTGGCCTAAGGGGCTTATCTTCCTGTGTCATATCTTTTATCATTTTAATGCTGTCCATGGGGTATTCTTGGCAAAGATACTGAAGTGGTTTGCCATTTTCCTATCCAGTGGGTCACCTTTGTCAGAACTGCCCACTGTGACCTGTCTGTCTTGGGTAACTCTACATGGCATAGCTCACAGTTTCATTGAGCTACCTACGAGAGCCCCTCTGATATGACAAGGAGTGGTAGAGGATCCAGGAGGGGTGGAGCCAGAAGACCCGGGTTCAAATCTTGGGTCTTTGTTACATATTAGCTTTGGGAAAGTCATTTCACATCCCTTAGTCTCATTCTTCTCATTTGTAAAGTGAGGGATTTGACATAGATGATTTCTAAGATCCCTTCAAACTCTTAAGTCAGGGGAGGGGAACCTGTGGCCTCGAGGCCATATGTGGCCCCCTAGGTCCTCAAGTGTGGCACTGTGACTGAATTCAAACTTCACAGAACAAACCTCCTTAATTAAGGATTTATTCTTTAAAACTTGGACTCAGTCTAAAGGCTGCACCCAAGGACCTAGAAGGCCACATGTGGCCTTGAGGCTGCAGGTTCCCCACCCTTGCTCTAAGTTGTATGAATTTACATGCCTACCATTTTTCAAGGATCTTACAAATAACTAATTCTCAATAGCACCAATGAAAGGAGATAAGTAATAGTGGCACCGTTTGCAGAGGTGAGACAAATTGCTGTGACTGTTGTTTCAAATAGTAAAAATACAGTTTCCTGTCCTATGGGTAAAATCTGTTTTGGGGGCGTCATCAGTTTTTAGTTTGCCTACTCTTTAGGAATAAAGGAATTCCTAAGAATTTTAGAATCCCTTTATGTTTGAGAATTTCCCAGAAGAATTATACAGTTGAGAGGTTTATTCACAGCAAAATAAGAGGACCTTTATAGGGTATTTACAAGTAGCACTTAGATGCTAAAATTTTGATAATAAAAATCTCTGATAAAAGTGAAAAGCAGCGTCTCTTATCTACTTGACATATTGCCATTCCACAGAGGGCCTAGTGACCCCTAGTGCTCACCTCTGGAAAGTGTCTTAACTCTTTTAAGTGGTACCCTGAAGCTAAATACCTTCCAAAGTGAAAAATTTATGAATAGCTCTTCAAAAAAGCCACAAAGTAGGCCCCCTTTTATCTGGACTTCTGAGTTTGTGTAAATATGGAAATAAGAAGCCCTTCCCCTCATCTTGGTATTATGTAAAACCTAGAAAACTTCTTCCCCCCTCCCCCCCCCCCCCCCCCCCCCCCCCCCACCCCCACTCCCCCTCCCCCCCACCCCTCCCTCACTGACCC